CCTCTCTCGCTCTCCTCCCCCCCTCTCTCTCTCTCTCTCTCTCTCTCTCTCTCTCTCTCTCTTTCTTTCTTTCTTTCTAACCCGATGCAGAACGGCAAAGCGAAGAACCTCGGGAACCCGGACGAAACGGTATGTCGAAATCGTCGCTGGCTTAGAAACTCGCCAGGGTCTCCCTCGCCACTCTCCTCGCCTTGATTTACTTTACTCCACTTTGCTCACCGGCTCTCTTGGCCGATATACGTATACACACAGGTACGAAGCAGGCTACCCGTTGACGATTTCAATTAAACGAATTGCAGCCGGTGCGCTTTGGTATTTGCGAATGGCCGATTGCGCAAGACGGCTGCGCGGACACGAGGAATATTCGTGGAGACGACTCTACCACGACGACTGTGACGTCCGCTGTCCTGAATTCCAGAAGCCACGCGCCGTTTCCACGCGGAAGCGCGACCATCGTTTCCGGTGGTGGCGACCGATGCCCAAGTGTCTTACGTCAGGAACCCGCTACGCGGAGCTGTATGGGAATGTAGATTCCAGAAAGAAAAATTCTATACCTTCGCCACCGTGTCGCTTCCGAGTGGTAGTTTAAACGTTCGTCCTTGCTATTATCGTACGGCTACCCAACGTGTGAACGAGGCTTTATCAGTTCCGTAAAAAGTCATTGCGACTGATAAATAAAAATTGTGCAAGGCACGTGTACGTCATTGCTGCTAGTGTCACTGGCGATAATTGACAATGGACGCGTTGTTTATGACGCTCGATGCAAAATATTTTTCCAAGGGGGGGTTCTATCTTCGTTTTCCAATTATATCAATCGCTGACTGTATGCCTGTCTGAGATATGCGATTATGATAACGGCGCTAAATATTCTGCTGCTCTTTATTCTCATTTCAAATTAATATTCGTTCCGTTCGGCGGTGCGATCATTGATTTTTATCAGTATGGTATATCGGGTAAACCTCCTCCCACCTCCCCTCTTTCCGTATACACCGGATCTATACTACACTGCATCGCCACTTGCACGATTATCGTAAGGGGTGCGAAAACACGGCTTTCCAGGCAAACGATTTCATCCAGGAAACTAGGCAGGTGGTCGCGGCTTTTCTTGGTAGGAGAGTAAGGTCGCCATTTTTCCTAGAAAAGTATGTCGTGTCGATGTCCCCCTGTGCACGCGCACGTGTTCCCTTGTTCATATGACTCCGTGTTGACGCATACATATATATTTCAGCCGAAACCTATTTTTTTTTTTTTTTTTTTTTTTTTTTTTTTTTTTTTTTTTTTTTTTTTTTTTTTTTTTTTTTTAATATACTTTTTTTCAATTCCACGAGAATTTCAATTTGGACGTTCAACGAATTTTCGCTTAGACGCTCCTTGTTGGCACCGGAGAAGCTTGGGATTAGCTGTGCTCGGTTAGTGAGAAAAGTTTTTGCAGATGGCGGGTCGATCGCTTTGCGCTGTTGCCGCGCACTGTGGTGCAAGGATGGCGGAATGGACTGAAAGAAGGGATAAAGGCGAACGGGCGGCAAGCGTGGCTGGCTGCTGACAGAGAGTGCTTTACGCAATAGTTGCGTGTGATATAACATTGGACTGTCGCTAGAGGCGCGTACAGAACCCGGGTGGAAGGCACACGCCTTCGTATGATATACGTGTATGCACTATGTACAGGGTGTCTCACTAAAAGTGCGAACCTCGATTGTTTCCGTTACTATTGAAGATACGTGAAAAAAGTTTCAGACAAAATTTTTATGGTTTCAAGGGGGTCGATCTTTCATTGGGATGTTGTTTTTTAAATTTATTTTGTTTCGAGATATATCACGTTACGCGTTATTCCGAAACATCATTTTCTTTTGTTATGAGAAAATGTAGCGCACTTTTTTTTTTTCTCAATACTTTAAGACCTCGCAGACTAAAATCCATCCAGCCGTTTACATGTTATTGAGAAATTGAATTTATTAAACAATTTTCGGTTACGAAATTAAGCGCGCTAACCCTAAATACTCTGGCAACGCTGCAATATATATATACATATCGCAGCGTGGGAATACATTGATTCGGGTTGGATATATGAATTTGGAACAACATTCATTGACATATGACAATGCCATACGTTAACAGAACATTTATATCGATGTCATCACAGTGCCACGTATTATATATATATATATATATATATATATATATATATATATATATATATATATATATATATATATATATATATATATATATATATATATATATATATATATATATATATATATATATAGCACCGCCGGCCCAAGTACCACGGTCACTAGTCAGATAGGTAGATGCGTTTACACATTAACCTAAGGTTCATTTCTATGATGCGTTACGAATAACAAAAAACCTTTCGTTGCTAATGGTCATTTGACTGCAAAACAGCTGATCGAGCAGCTAACTTAAACCATAAGATAATTCTGTGTACATAAATCGTGATATCAGCATAGCATGACAGCGTCGTATATACACGATAGCCATGATATTATAGCTGTCAATCACAGTTACTAATTTTCAAGTTTCGTAATATATAATTACACTGCGACAGCAGCGTAATCGTACGGGCGATATTGGTGTTTGTAATTATTTTTTTAATTATTCTAAACAATTGTCACTTAATGCGGTACCACTGTGATTAGCCTGACCTGAAACATTGGAATGCTTTGTCGGAATAGTACCCTTGTCGCTGTATGCACAGTGTACGATGTTACTAGTACCATGTACTCGGGTCGTGACAGCAGTTTTACTTTGAGAGGTGTCATCTCCTTACGAACCGAATCATAAATTACGCAATAAGCCAGCTCAAAGTGGAACCGATGTCGTGGCTCGGGTATGGCAGTCGCACATTCCGCGTAACCGGCCGACGGGTGAAACGCGTTTTGTAGCTCCGCGGCTTGAATTTCACCGGGAACTGGGCCTAGGTTACTCTCGCCCGGTTTGGCTCGGTCCGGGCCGTCGCAGCTACTGCTCTATAACGCAATGACCCAAATGATATCGCGAAGTGGGTCGCAGCCTAGAATCCACGAGAGCCCTGTGCACCTCGTCACACTCACTCGGCCATCCCTCCACGCTGGTATTACATCGCCTCGTGGAGTCTTACGCCCCACTATCCTCCATACCTCTTTTCGACGGTACCAACTTTTCTCGCACCGTGGCGCCCCCGTACTCTTTTTCTCCGCTGGCACTCTTTCTACTGTCTTACTCAGCATGCTTCACGGCGCTCGGGGCTTACGCCGTTTACACGCTCGATACACGCTATTTCGATGTCGTTCAAATTTCACTTTCGCTCGCTCGTAATTGCGTGACCGCGACTCGCTACCACGCTACGATACTTTCCTTTTGGGTTATAACGATTAAATTAGAGCAGGCCAAGGACTCTCGCTCTCGCTCTCTCTCTCTCTCGCTCTCTCTGTCAATAGAAACGTTGTTTGAACATTCTTACGAGTCCGATTCGATGCTGACATTCGCACACGTCGATAACAACGTGTACCGCTTTAATCCTCAGTAATGGTAAATTCATGAAATTTTTAGATTTTAAATATCATATTTTTGTGGCATTTAACAATTTTCTTTTTTAATGTTGTTACTCGGATAATTATGTACTCATTGTTTCCAGGGCAGCTTAATAATCGTTTTCTTATTGACACAGTGTCTGTCACTTTCGTTATCTCTCTACTCGACGTCTCTCTAGTGGGTCACCGAAGATACCTCGACGTAGACAAAAACCGGAAGCGTGTGTTCGTCACACGTGTACTCAACATATGCTTTGGCGGATAACCGCTATCTTATGTGACCCGGTTAATACGCCTCGTCCAAACGTGCTTTCCCAGAAAGATAGAAAATTCTTGACTCGGAAAATACTTAAAAAAAAAAAAAAAAAAAAAAAAAAAAAAAAAAATTTAACTTTATTCCCATCTCGTCGGTATAAGAATAAATCGCGAGGATGCTTTATTATGAAATCGGAAATTGGCGTCGATCTTCGGGCGAAGAGCGAGCGTTTCCAGAGTCGTAAGATAAATGTATACAGAGCTGTTGACAATCATTTCACAAGTCATTGTCAGCCTCCAGAGATTATCGCTGCTCCTTCTTGCGTTGCTGTACGGTGACGTCACTGCTAGCTCGACACAGTGACACCGATTGGATCTCCAACAGATGTCTTCATGGCCTTTTTGCTTCTTCGTATTCTTCGTTCTCGTATATCCTTGTGTTTTTCTGTTTTACTTTATAATTTCCTTTTTTTTTCATTTTTTTTTTACCACCGGATACATTCTACCGGTAATCATTAACTCATTCAATTTGGACTTGTTCCTTAATGACGTAAGCAGTTAGATCAACATTTTCAAATCTTTAATTACTCGTGCCACCCTGTATGGCACTTAAGCTTGAATACATTGTCATTGCTTGCTGTTATATTGCGAATAGCTGATTTCTTTACAGTCAATATAACAACGATTAGCGGATATAGATTACTATACTGTTTACTTGGGTTATCATCGTGTCAACCATGCGTGTATACATATATATATATACATCGTTAATGTATCGCATTACACCATATAGCAAATGTCATTTTTCATCTTATGCAGATATACGACGTATCGGTACAACCGAGTAACGACAATATTACCAGCAGTCAGTCGCAAGCAGCAATAGCAAATGGAATAATAGTAACTGCGCCCATAGGAAAGGGACCAGATACATGAAGCGTGACGTACACGCACTCAACTATTTGCTAATTAGCGGATAATAATACTGTAATACCGGTGGTGGGTATTACGATCTCGAACGAAGAGAAAAAGCGAGAGAGAGAGAGAGGGAGAGAGAGAGAGAGAGAGAGAGCTGATAGAAAGAAATAGGTCCAATTACATTCACGTCACACGCGCCACTAGCAGTGGTACCAACGGCGCGTAGAAAATAATATATATATATATATATATATAAGCATAATGAGAAAGAGCTACCGTCTTACAACACACGCTACGATCTAGTTAACATCCATTGCCTATTTTCAGGATCCTTAAGAGCATTGAGAGAACTCAATGTATACATCCGATCCGAAAAATGAGCGAAAGAGGTAAAGAGACCAGTTACGGCATCCACGGCCTCGCGGCCTAACGAAACGCTAACCGATCGACCGTGGACGGATATAGGCAGCCTCGGTATATCGGTCGTGAGGCTTGGCTCGGATTTTTCTAGGTGACCTTAGGTCGCTATCGGGACTCCATTATATTTCCAATGACTTTCTACGTACGTTGGTATTCTCGTGGCTGCGCGTAAGCAATGGTATTTTTTTTTATTCTGCGCTCTTAGGACTCCGCTTCAGCCTGAGCTCCCATTAAAATTTGCTCGGCCATCCTGGTACCCGGGCATCGCGGCACAGTGTTTTCTTCGTGATTTGTTGCCGTTCTCTCCCGTGACCGGTGCCTTCCCCGTGTTCAAGTGAAAGGAACAGCAACGAGATACGCGACGCATTCATTCAATGTCACGGCGTTACGCCACATGGCGAAGTTCCGCGTCCCGGGGAAACGATACGGGAAGGATGACGATGACGTTGCTGGTGACGTCAGTGATTCTCAACCGTTAAGGAATTTCCTTTATGTCTAGATCGTATATACACGCCATTCGTCATCGGCTTCATTTGTTATTGGGTAAAACCCTTTAAGTATGGATTTACTCTAAGTATAGATATGGTACACCTCATCGCGATAAGGGGACAATGCAGTTTTATGTGTCTTCAAGGATTTCTTTGTTCTGCCACACGACGATTAACCTCTCTACGCCGTATTACTTTACTTGGACGTCTTTTCTCTCCGGCAGCCGGTTTTACTAGTAATGTGTGTAGGACACGTGCAAACTGCACCTGGAAATGAGTAAGATTGCCGTTCTATTGGGGAATGCTTAAGGACACGGGATTTTATTAGTCAGGATACACGTGTGGGATTGTTATTAATTTGCTAATTAGGTGGGTTAGTAGTGTCAGTAAATTTTATATTTCACGAGTCACGGACGACCGATGTGTATTTGATGTTTTTTTTTTTACATTATCACTGTGGGATTACCCGATTCAGGTATCATGTGTTATGGGAATTCCCTTTGGGTCTTGATCGTTTTCGTAGCTTCGATTTATTTCTGTAATGATTTCACGTTCTCTCACGCTCTTTGTGTATTTTGAATTTACTTCTACGTTGGCAATTGGCATTACGTCTTTTTACGTAGACAGAACGGCGTAACCTTCCGGTAAGTTGTCGTTGTAGGTGAGTGAGCTCTCGCCGGCTGATTCACTGTCGCAACGCTCGGCGCAATGACAAAGGCCATCCTTGAACCTTCGTCGCGTCGCTATCGGTTATTCGTGCTCACGGAACGAGTCGGGTGCAAATCATTGATCAGAATTGGACAAACGTTTACATTGATAATTGATGCACCGCTTCAATTATCTGGACAATTAAGTGTGCTTGTTTTGCTTATCTTTGTCAGTTTACGAGTGCGCGTGCGCGACCGAGTGACGCTTCGTACGGTTGGTCCGCGAGGAAAAGAAATATGACTGGACGATACATAGTCGTAATATTAATAGTAATATTAATATTAATAATATTAATACCGGGATTACTTAAAAATACTATTTTACAGGCTTAATATATTCTTTTAGATGTTACCAGCTCCTGTAGATATTGTAAATCACGATCATGCGCAACCGATCTAATTATCCAGTCCAGGACTAACGGTTAGCGCCGCCATCTTTTACCGGTTGAGAATCGAACGTGTACAGCGGTTCCGTTCCGATTAGTGAACCCGCATTTGGCGAGTCACAGGATATTCTCGACTGGTTGTTATTCACTACGGTAATTCAATGAAAAGTCCTTAACGGAAATAACGTGTCTTGTGGTGTCTTTGAAAAATTTTCTCAACGGTTTTCTTAGCTCATATCAATGGGGGACGAACGAAAACGATCTTGACGCCATCTGCGCGGGCGTCACGTGAAATGTAACGAGTGCACTTTTCACCTATCGGTCGGTTTCGCAATTGCAATGCGACGAGGACCCAACTGCCTACTAAGATTCCTGGAGTGGGATGGGCTCTTGGTACTGTTTACGAGTTTTATCGACTTAGGTCCCGATTTTATCGACGGAGAGTGAAAGGAAGTGAAAGAAGCAACGGGAGATCGTTTTGCTCGATTTGACACGTCCGAGAAAGTGTTTTCACAGCAATTTCGACTCGTGTCAATGAGCATGAAATAACAGTAGGTAAAAATATAAAAATATCTATTTCGAAGCAAGAAATTTTAATAATAATATTAATCCATTCCGTTGGTCTACGGTATATATTTTAAGTAGACAAACATCAGTTGAGATTCGTTTTTGAACACTGATGGAATCGTATGGATATGCGCCTACGCATATACTGGAATCGGTTTACTCGGTGATTTAGTGCGCGCGGGTGTTACACAACCTCGGGAAAAGTCACCAGTCATGGCGTTTGCTGTGCCGAATCGCGATCGTAGCGCGTAAGGTCAACAACTTTCATCGCAACCCAGGAAGAAACCCGCTGCCGAGAGACGCGTGGAAATTTGAAAGTCGGAGAAAGTCCTCGGGCCCGAATCGGTTTTAGTGTCGAGCGAGGCCGAGTGCTACCGAGTCATGCCGAGATTATCCGAATTTGCACGAAGCTTGTACTAAACTGTCTCAGGTGTTCTTTCTGGAACTTGTTGGCCGCTATGAGAAATAAATCCATACTAGGTCGAAGAATTTCTCAAGAGGAATCTCGAATGTAGTGCATTTAAATGGTATTCTTTTTCGATATTACTTTATACTATTTACAATGACACTAGGCACCCTCTTAACCTTAATTCTATCTGAGAATTAATGATGCCCGAAAAATTTTGAAAAAATATCCCGCATTCCGCATGCGCAGTAGGAACTTACTTGATTACTTAATGTGTACTGTGAACGTGAGATTTGTGTGTTTGAAATAGAAAATTTAATGACTACTGTACTATGTATAGGATGATACAGTAGGCAATGAATGTTCAAGAGGTGTTAGTATCACAGTGTCAGATAGTGTCTTATGCTTTCTAGTACCGTGAAATATTAATATTAAGAGGCACCACTCGAATTTCCCAATGCGCAATTATGCAGCCACGTGTGACTAACGTGGTAAAACATATGTAACAGGTATCTCCATGTATCCCACCAGGTATGCCTTTCTATATCGCATATAAATATATATATATATATTTATACGATACATAAAGCACAAGGCTACTTTTAAAAGTGCTCGCAAAGGTAAGGAAATAAGAATAGGAAAGTAATTGAAGTTTAAAATAAAGTTTACTTTCAACGACTCATTTATTGTATGCTCATATTATTTTAACTTTACACCCGTAGAATTTTTCAACGAAAATCTCGCGAAACCTTCCGACAGCGAGGAGCGACGAGGAAAGTAATGAATTTCAAACGTACTTCCGGTCTCGTTCTTCGGGATTCCTCGAGACGTCTCGTTTCTTTTGAATTTACGGTAATTCAAGTGCGACTAATGATTAACGCGGGCATCGACGTAACCTCACGGTAACGGGGAAAACTAATGTGACGTCAGCGAACGAAATTCCCAGGCGTTCATTCTGGTCTCTCGTTTTCTTATATATCTCAGTATGTTTTTTGTCTCTTTTAGTTCGAGTCTGCGTCAAACGATAACGAAGAAGCGTCGCGTCACTCGCAAACTGCACCGGAAAGTCCTATCGGGTAGATACATGCTATACAATGTCTGTCTAATTAAACACATGAGTGTCTATTGTATTATTTGATTAACTATCAAAATTGACAAAGCCTATACTGACGAAAGGAAGGACAGAAGGAATAGAGAGAAACTGGAAAAAAATGTTAATAATAAAAAAGCGGCGCTCTAGCCGTTAAAACGATAGGGGGCTTGGCAGATGAAAAGGGAGGTAATGAAAAATAGAGCAAAAAAAAAATATACCCGTGCAACAAAGCGAAAATCCTGCGTTCAACTTAATAGGACATTCCTGGAATTCGTGCAGGATGTCAGGCCCACTTTTTTTTTTTTTTCTAAACTCCTCCTACCTTTAATAGAAAAATAATTTGATAAAATTTTAATTTTGAGGTTAAAAAAATATCGCTCTTCGTTTTACGCGGAATACGGTTAAATATGTTGCAGTCTTGTTTAGGTTTGAATTTTTTATTGGTATTTTGATTTTTTTCTCTTCTTCCGTTTCAGGGCACCATGAGTCTCACGAAACGTATTGACGAGGTTCGACTGCTGGAGTCGCGCAAAAGCGCCAGACTCGCAGATCAAGATACAAATTTCGCGAGACTGGCTGACGTCGGCGGTGATCGTAAAAGAGCCTCCTCGCACTCCATCGACGTGCCCCATGTTATCGGGTGAGTACATTGATACTAAGTACGTGCATGGCGACAGATATAGGTATAGAACGTGTGTAAGTATACGTATATAATATTTACTCATCGACTCTGACCACTTTCGTTTGCTCGTGGAAAGCAAAAACAAAGCCCTTTCCAAGGTATTGATTCAGCTTGTCAGCCAGCCACCTAAGTATATGTAGATGTCCAGGTCGTTAACACTCTAAATATTTATTCCCTGCATGAATAAATGCACTTCGATGGATACGCGTACAAAAGTTGATACATATTCATTTGGCACATAGTAGAAGTATGTTTCAAAGTTGCACCACGCTTAACGTTACATTCGTCCAAAATATTTAATTGGAAAAATGGACAAAAAATTGTGTTCAATAATTTATGAGTAACGTTGATCAGTTTGAGAAAAAAAAAAAGAAACTTAAAAAAATGGTAATTGCCTATTTACAGTCAAATATGTGCATTTGCCTGTACTCCGAAACGTGCGTCTTTACGATGATAGTTAATTCCGTTTTGTTTTATATTGACTATATCAAGCGTCGAAAGACTTTCAGCCAAGTTTTATTTCGTGCATGAGTCGCCGGTTGGGATAAAATCGTTGGACGCTGCGATGGGCAAGGGTGGACATGGGACTCGAAGGGCCGTGATTGGCTTGGCAGACCGTGAACACACCCTCGCTGCACACCTGTCTCTCACCTTTACCCGAAAAACCGATGAATCCCTTGTAGGGTGCCCAAGGGCCAAGGACCTGGTACCCTGAGCGCGCGTGGAATTTTTTTATTGTCTGTGAGTTGGCTTCCCCGGGGCCCCTTAGAAGCCTTAAAGCAAGAAAAGTGTCTCCTGAGGTCATCGTCAGCATTCGGGAGTCTCGTTTAATCGTAGTGGACTTTTGGTGCGGATGGATAATAATTTTGAAAAAAAATTCGATGAAATTGAAAAAACGTGTATATTTTTATTTAATAATCGACATGCCACTGTCTATTGGAAATAATGATTTTTTTTTTTTTTTTGAAAATTTTTTCTTAACGGATATTGAGCTTAGAACGAATTTGGAGATTATCGACGACCTTTGTGTTTGTACAGGTTGATATTCAATGATCACAATGCGCGGTTATGTGCCGGTTGTATTATGTTGGGGTAACATTTGGGCCTCAAGTCCCATACCGATGACATTGACCTTCTTGAATTTTCGTGTTGTGGTAAGGGTCTGAGGTCCTTGTTCCTTCTTGAGTCCCCCCACAAAGGGTGTCTAGACCTTCGTAAAATATCCTGGCCAATGCCTCGAACGTCTGGCCCAGGTCAGTTACCTGTCTGGGCCCCAGCACCTGGTCCTGCGTGACCTGCCTCACGCTCAAAAGAGAACAAAGGTAGGAAAGGGCCCTGGATACCATATACAGACTTGACTCTCCCATATGGCAAGACGCAAAGCCATTTTTCAGGCGTCGGATAGTCCATGATAGAGAAAAATTTAAACACCCTGCGAGGAGGGGGGTGAGGGGAGTCTCGTGGGCCAGTCCCTTTGGGCCTTACCCCCAATAAATTCTTGCTAGGAACAAACTTATCGATATACGACCGCCCGCGTTGAAGCGTTGTCGAAAAAGAATTGTTTTTAAGTAATTTATAGTCTGATTAATATATTCTTTTTATCGCTACTTGATATGCTTTTTTTTTTATCTCGTTCAATACCCGTTATCTAAACAGGCAGAAGACAGCGTTTAATCAGTCGACATTCAGTCTGGCACGTTCAGGAAGAAAAGTACAAGCATGACGAAATCCAATAATACTTGACACGTGGATCTTGTGTCTACACGGAGGAAATAATTGCATTGGCCATGACCACTTCGAACCGGTAACACCGTTACGAGCCTATGTATGGGAAAACAGTTTTGGGCCCCGCATAAGAGTCCCACGTGGAAATACATCCCAATTGGAATATCTATCAATGTACGTGCATATACACAAGTCCCAAAGCCCGGTACGCAGGAGGGATCAACGTGTTCGTCATTTTCAAATCAATGGTCGACCGTAAAGTTTAACGGCCATGAAGTAACAAGACATGCGGAGGGGGATCGACCTCTCGAGAAAGAAAAAAAAAAAATAAAACAGGCAACTCTAGATGGAAGTACGTAGATATGCCAGTGAGTTAAGTCGATCGCAAGAAAGGACAGGTTAGTGGGGCCCCATGGGACCGGGCAAGACCCATTCGCTGACAGCAGCCAATGGTTTACTCGCCGGCTGGAGTCACTTGGTATATCCAATGGGTGTAGGTCTTCGAAGAAAAACAGACTAACGCCACGTTGGGCCCGAAGGAAGATTAGAGAGACCGTAAGGCCGAAGGTATTTTGAAATTTTTCGAAATCTCCCTCTTGATCCGTACGTGTACGACTGACGATTTTGTGCTGAATGAAGATTTTTTTCTTCTGTTTACTGTCATCGTGCCAATAGGCAGCTGAACCTGGTTACCCGTGGATTCTATTTTTATACGAAAAAAAAAGTATTTTTAATACGAAATTTATTCTTTGCACGTACCTAGTTTTCCTTTTTTTTTTGTCGTACTTGAACCATACTTTCTTGTTAATAATAGCCGTTTTATTGTTGTTCGCGATAATAATATCAATTCTAGAGATAATAATAACAATAAGGATAATGAGTACCGGCAGCGACTACGTCAGGACGTTCTACCACCTTCTGGATACAAGGTCGCAGTGGAAGCTCATTAGTTGCGTGGTGAAATTAAAGTCGCGGTTAGGACCTTAACCCCGTCTTTGAAGATTTGTCACGATTTTTCGTTATGACGCAATCTTTTTCGAAAATACGCTTTCGATGTATTTGAACTTCATATTAGTCGAATATCTCATGGTACGACCTACTGGCGGCGACCGTCGCTCGGGGAAGTCTCGAGGTCGGCTTAATGTTTTTCTCGTCTACATACTAGGAACCAGAAGTCTCAACGTGACGTAAGGCCATAATTACCTTCGACCTACGATTCTAGTCGGCAAAAACATTCCGCGTAGATCCCGCCGCCACGCTTTCGCGTCTCCTATCGACGTCAGACGAGCGGATTTTGCGACCAACGTTCAAGGCGACGTTGAGATATGCATTTATTAAAAGCGCCAAGTCCCGACAGCAGCTTCATTTCAATTATGTCTTAACGATCGACCCTTTTCCTTGGACTTCCCATTACTGATACCGCGCTGGAAGTTCTGCTTTTTTCATCCTACTGTTGGCTTGTTGGTCTATGGGCGCGGCGGGGAGGGGGGGGGCAGGGGGAATTCTGAAAAATAAATCTTTCTGTTACCGCCTTTACGATGGATCGAACGCTTCATTGGAAACAGTGAAATTTTGCTCGAAGTACAATTACGTACTTGTCACTGTACTGCGGTGTAAATGAAAAAGGCGGGATCCGTCATGACGTTGACACTTGCGGTTAGTCATGAGTTCGTGAGAATTGTTTGACTTTTTTCTTTCTTATATCTATTCTATTTGACGAGGCTGTTGAGTCATCGCCGGTTCGAAATTCAAAACTCGTAATTCGAAGCTCATAAAGGCGAGATCGTGTTCTCACGTTGGCCAACCTGTCCTTCCTCGCGAAGACACGCAACGCGTCCTTACGGTGATTGACGCTGCCGATTGGGCAAGGCTTGCATTTTTTTCCCTGCAATAATTATTATTTCCAACCTTTTGCCTCGGCTGCGACTCTTTCCTCTGCAATGCGTGATTTCACCTGGTTCTTTGGAGCACGTAGCCGTTTTTCGGGTACACGAAGAAAACGTTCTGGAACTACGGGAATGCAGATAGAAATTAAAGAAAACGATATCCGCGTAATACTTTAATATGCCTGTAAATCTGTTAACGCACGTATTTTCAAAATTCCCCAAAAAAAAAAAAAAAAAAAAAAAAAAAAAAAAAAAAAAAAAAAAAAAAAAAAAAAAAAAAAAAAACCATCCCCTCCGTGAACTTTCTCAATATTTTTCTTCCGTCCCCAAAATAACTGTTCATCTTGAAGAATATACAGTAATGGCTCCAGTACGCTGAGCCAACTTTCCGCGGCTAATAAATGTGTTCCAAACACCATATAAATCGCCCCTTCGTTCCATCCTCAACCCATAAAAAATATAAAGTCTAAAAATACGATTTACGTATACTTACCTGTTCGTAAGAAAAAAAAAAAAAAAAACATGACAAGCAACCCGGGACCACGGGTCATTTTCAAGCTGAACAACTCCCATGTACCAGGGAATCGAAAGTCAAATCAACCAAGAACTTTCCCCTGTGTAAAAGAAAGTCACGGACCTTAATTTTTACCGCGGTAACTTGTCACGTTAAAATTAGAGGATAAATTCAGGCCGAACGAGACAAAAATTCATGGGGGAAGCATGGAGATTGCTGAAAAGTCTTGGGTTCACTCCAGATATACATATACCTATAGTTTGCTGTATAATGCATGCACGGAACTCTCGTCGTTAGTCACTGGGTTAGCTTGCGTAATTTCGGCCGTGGAGGCTCGTCTTCTGGAATTGGGTCGATCAATACTCGACCCGCGGATCCCGAGTATAGGTCAGGTGCAACTACCACACTGCTGGCGCACAAAGCGTCAGCCTAGAAGAGGACAAGGCAAGCACCGGCTTCGCTGTAATGCTGGCGTATAGGTTAGGTTAGACCATCAGGAGAATAGAATCTTCTACCCAGTGCCTGAGAATATATGCTGGTCACGTAATATATATATGGGCATGTACGCGTGCGTATATATATATATATATATATATGTATATATGTATACAATATGCATTATAGGTATCAATATTATATAGCAAAGTTTCGATTCTCCTTGAGCTTCCGTAATTCGTTTGCTCTTAACGATCCTTATGATTTGAATTCTGCTACCTCGTCGTATATCTTGATACTGACTGTTTAATGGCGGAATAGATTCTTACGTCTCTTGCGTCCCTTGCGTTTTGCGGAGGTTGGAATTTGTTTATGCTCGTTTCGCAACGCGTTCAAGG